TGGGTCACTGGCAAAGCGGCCAAATTCGCTCACATGGACAGCACGCAGAAGAAACTGCAGGAATTTAATGCCAGGAGGAAGCTGAAGGTGACAGAGGGTCATTGTCACCTTGGGGTGACAGCGAGGGAGGGGTGGCCATGTCCCTTCCACGGCCTACAGGGCCTGGAGAGAGGTTTGAAAGGCAAAATCCCACTAAAAACCCTCGTGGGACCCCAAAAAAGGCGTGGAGCTGCGCCTGGGGGGGGTTCGGGGTGGATTTTAGGATAATTTTTGTCCCTTAGAAGGTGGTGTGGCACAGAATTCCCTCAGGGAATCATCCTGGCTCTGACGCTGCCAGACTCCCAGGGCACCATTTTGGGATTTTAGGGCGCTTAGACCGGGTCAAAGATTGCAATCAACAACCCCAACGGATCCATCTCCAAACATTTTCTAACTCCTTCATTCTCCCTCTACCCCAGGCCGCCATGAAAGCCGTCGTGGCCTCCAGCCGCTTGGGCAACCACGGCCACCACGATTGCTCCCGCAGTGGCCGYGGCCAGGCCGGGAGCCGGGGACTGGCCCAACCCTCAGTGTCCAGCAGCCCCGAGGCCAGCACGGAGCTCGCCGTGTTCCAGAGTGACCACCCCGTGGCCGTAGCCCCCGTGGCCGTGCCGGGGGCCGGYTGTGACGGTTAACGGGCTCTGGAGTAGCCACAATCTCCCATGGCCGGGCTCTGGAGCACCCTCGTGTCGTGTCCTGTCACCCCCCGGTCGCTGTCCCTGTGTCTGTGCCCGCCTGGCTGAGGGGACGAGGAGGTGGTTTTTGTCTTCCCGTTTCTCCTCTGAGCAGTTTGGGCTTGGAAAGATCCCAAAAAAATGAGGAGCGAGCAGCAGGACTTAAGGGTTTGTCCCACCTTTGGGTTTGAGGGGTTCCTGTAAATAATCCTGGAAGTTTTATTTCTTCAGGTTGTGCTGCCATCGCTGTGACATCGCTGTCACCAGCCCCAGCTGTGGGTTTGCTGCTGTGTTGGGAGGGGTTTTAGGAGCYTTTGACCCCAAAAGTTCCATCCTCTCTGAGAACAGCCCGTGCCAGCGGTTCCCTTGTCATTCCCAGGCAGCAGCTGACCCCTGGGTTGTGTTTTTTTGGGTTTGTTCCCCACCTTCTGTGTATCCCTGGTGGTGGTTTTAGGGTTGTCACGGACTGGGAATGCTGGTCTGGCCTCCCTTTGGCATTCCAGGTCAGGATTTACACAATTTTAACATGAGAATTTACACAATTCTTTAATAAGAACAACTCTTCTTACCTTGTGGGACTCTACACAGAACTGCTGTTCCCTGAGGGAGGACAATGGGTTTATACCTATTTTATTTTTATTTTTTAATGAAATCAGCAGACAAACTTTCTTTTATTTTTTTTTTATTTTTTTTTTTTAGGCAGGAAACAGCATAAGCATTTACAGATTTAATGCAGAACAAGTGACCAGACAGGAAAAGCCATATTCCATGTGGGAATTACAAAGGGATCCAGCTGGCCATAACCTGGACCCCCACATTTGGGTTTAGAACGAGGGTAAAAATCCCACCTGGAGCAGAATAAATTTGTACAGGAGGTTCATTCCCCCAGGATGGAGGTGCAGAATGGGGCAGGAGGGACAGGAAGGGCATAAAAAAACCCCAAAATTGGACGTTTTTGACAAAGGTGAAGCATCAGTGATGGACCTGAGGGTGACAGAAGCTGTCAGGAGGTTGAGAGCAGGAGGAGGAAAATGTGACACAAGGATTTTGTGTTTATCTCCAACACAAGCAGAAATCAAACCAGCTCTGTGATCCACCCCAGAGCTCCGTGGGGTTTAGAGAGCCAAAGACAGCAGAGAAATAGGATATTCAAGAGGGGTTTTAATTGGAAAAATATCATGGCTTGACCAGAGCTAAACTTTTTTGAACTGAGTCGTTCTTTTGTGGGGAAGCAGCTGCCCRGTGAGGTGTCCCAGGGGGAAATGAMGCCGCTGATCCCACRGGACGCTGCAGCRCAGGGAAATTATCCCTTTTTCTTTGCATTTTTTTTTTGCAGGAGGGGCAGTTTTTTYCYYYYCYTTTTTTTTTTAATCCYGAGGGCTGAACCTTGCAGGATGCTCAGCCCCAGCGTCCACCCCGTCCTTGGTGTGTCCTCTCAACTTTGTGTCGTGTCTCCAGCRGGACCTGAACTCCACCTCGTTGTTCCCTAACCCAGGTTTTAAAGACTATTTTTTATCCTTTGACATGTGAAATTTTGATTAAAGCCCCTCGCAGGACCAGGCTGGGCACCCCCAGAGCCTGTGAAGCAGGGAGCAGCGCTGGGAAAAGCTGAGTGATGTTGCTGAGCATTCCCAATCCTGCAGGAAAATGGGAATTACRGTTGACAAATAAATTACACAAAATATCTCTGTTCCATGAGGGGAGGGAGTGGGCTGTAAGCAAAACCAGAGCAGGAGTTTATCTCTTATGTTAACAAAGTATTATTCCACAGGTATCCGTACTTAAAGATAGGAAAAATGCACTCCAGGGAGGTGCATTTCGGTCTGTTGCTGTTTGCAGAGTGTGTTTGAGTAACTACTTCAGTGTAGTGGTGACAGTTCTGATATCCAGGTATTTATAACCAAGTAGAGACAGCGAATAAAGCATCAAATCTCAGAGCGTGGGCTCCGTTGTCGCTTTTTCCTCAGGATATCGGGGCTAAAGATTGGCATGGATTGGAAGGGACAGAAAATAATCACATAGCTCTGATGTTATGAAAAAGATGGAAAAGACAGTTCACAAGACTACCAGTAAACAAATATCAAGAGAAAAAATGGAGCCTGGTCTCTGCAGGCAGCTACAGATATACCATGACTCCAACGTGGAGTTAAACCAAAGTATTTAATCCTGTTCTAGAACTGTAGAAGGTTCTAGATCATCTTCTCCCACCTCCTGCCATGGGCAGGGACACCTTCAAGCGTGTYCCAGKTTGCTCCAAGCCTGGCTTTGGACACTTCAATGGTGGGGCAGCTGGAATTTCTCTGTGAATCCAACAATTTGGATTAGAAGCACCTTGGATTGACCCTGCAGGGCCTGGGCGGTGCCCCGCGGGTGCTCGGAGTCCCCTGCCCCGCGGAAGGTGTCCCCAATGGTGGCACTGGACGCGCTCGAAGCTCCGTGCCACCCAAACCATCAAATGACGTCACCGCTTATGCCGATGACGTCACTCGCCCGCTGCCATGCTGCACTCCGTCCTCCCGCCCCGGAGTGGGCGTGGCTTCCGCCCAATCATCCAATAGAAAATGAGGTAGGCGTGGCTTAGGTCACGACGAGCTCTCTGATTGGCTGCGTCGCGTGTTTTGGCGGCGGCGGGGAGGGCGGGCGCCAGACGGCGCTCGCTGATTGGTCAGAAGGGTCGTGCCGGGCGGTGGGCGCGGCGCATGCGCGGAGCCTCCTGGGGAGGGCGGCGGCGGCGGCGTGCGCGGGGGCGGTGTTGTCGGGAGCGCGCACGGTAATGGTGCCCACCCCAATCCCCCAGCCCCCCTCCAGAATGGGGTCTGAGGGGAAAATGAGGGACCCGATGGGTTTGGGGCTCCCGTCCGTCCTCTGACCGAGCGAGGCGAGAGGCCTGTCCTTCCCTTCACCGGGCGTTTTTAGGGGGGTCCTGTCTCTCCCCTCACCAGGGAGGGTTGGGGGAGCGTCGCCTGTGAGGGGAGGGTTTTGGGGGATCCCGTTCGTGCCCTCACTGGGGCAATTGGAGGATTCCGTCCCTCACAGAGAGGGGTGGGGGAGAGTCCTGCTCTTCCCCTCACTGGGGCGCTTGGAAGGTTCCGTCCCTCASGGAGCGGGGTCAGGGACAGTCCCGTCCTTCCCCTCACCGGTTCGGCTGTGGGGGCCCTGTCCCATCCCTCACCCAGCGGGGCATTGCGGGGYTCACTCCCCTCACCAGGGGAGGTTTGGGGCGGTCTGGGTGTCCTGTCCCTCCCCTCACGTGTGGGTTTTGGGGCCGGGCGGTGCCCGTTAAACCCGCGCCGCCTCACGGGGGTCCCGCCCCGGCCTCGCCGTTCCGTGCGGTGCCCGTTAAACCCGCGCCGCCTCACGGGGATCCCGCACCCGCCCCGCCGTTGCCGTTACCGGCGGCACTAACGGTTCCTCCTCACTCCCTCGGTCCCTCCACCGCCGCAGAGCCGCGATCCCGGAGCTCCGGGGATCCCAGCACCTGGATCTCGTAAGTACAGCAAGATCTCGTMTTTTATACGTCTTTTTAAAAGCCCTTGAGAAACGCCTGAAGGCTCTGGGGCCGCTCTGCTCAGGTTTCTATTGCAAATCATCGGTAAAAATTGGTATTGAATTATATAGAAAAAGTCGATCCAGCACATTTTTAGGGTGTAGTTCCTATTTTCAGGGTTTGGTCGCAGGAAGCTGTACACTGGGCAGGCCCTTGGCTGCATGGTTTAATTCCTGTTAACGTTTTCCTTGCCCAACACACTCAGACCTGCTTTTGCTCCTGGAATTATGGAATTCTTGAGTCCTGAGGTGATTTGGRTTGGAARGACCTTAAAACCCATCYAGTCCCATCCCCAGGACAGAACCTGGCCTTGGACACTCCCAGGGATGGGACAGGCCCAGCTGCAAAAAWATGGAAGATAAGAATCTTTAATATTTAAGATATTTAAGATACAAATTTGGAGAATGCTGCAGGGTAATATCAGTGCAGTGATCCTGAAAGTACAGCAATAATAGCTGCAACAACATATTCAAATAAATCCTGTATTTCCTTTTTAAGAAAAATAAAGACAGAAATGGATCAAGGTGAGTGACTCCTTTTAAAAAAAATAAAGACAGAAATGGACCAAGGTGAGTGACTCCTTTATTCCTTTTTTTCTCCTCAGAGCACCCTGGGATTGCCCTGTTCCTCCTGAAGCTCAGCCATGACCGACCAAGAGTTTGTTCTGTGCAAATGGAAGAGACGTTTGTGGCCAGCCAAGGTAATGAGGAATGAGGAAATGTTTGTGGCTGTTGCTTGGAATGGGGTGAAACAGAGCAGCAAAGAAGGGAGGGGTCCCAACAAACATGTCTGGACTTGAAATAAGAGCTGATCTGTGGAGTTACCTTCAGGGCTGGAAAGGTGGGAAGGGGATTTGGATAAGGGCCTGGAGTGATGGGACAAAGGGGAATAATTTCCCATTGCCAGAGGGCGGGATGGGATATTGGGGAGAAATTCCTCTCTGAGGGTGGTGAGGCCCTGGAATGGAATTCCCAGTGAAGCTGTGGCTGCCCCATCCCTGGAAGTGTCCAGGGCCAGGTTGGACAGGGCTTGGAGTAGCCTGGGATAGTGGAAGGTGGTTGAATGAAATCATCTTTAAGGTCTCTTCCCACCCAGTCCATCCTGGGGTTTTATGATTCCATGATCCTAAGGCTGTTCCCAAGGTCTATCAAGCTGTTCTTTTAAAAATATTTTCTCACCATATCTATTAGTCAAGGATTTCAAATGCAGATTTTTCTCTTTTAACATAGGTTTTGTGCAAACCCGGAGTTGCTGGGAGCAATCCTGTTGCCACCACGAGAAAGATGGGATTTAAAGCTGAAATCCTTGGCTTGGAGAAGCAGTTGAGTATCCTTGTTCCTGTCACGTGTTTGCATTCTCCGATGTTAAAATAACAAAAGGGGAAGAAAGGATTCCTTTTATCTGAAGGTGCCTGTGAGATGGGATCCCAGATTTGCAGGAAGTTTAGGTGTTTAACCCTGACAAGGACAGGTTGGGGGAGGGCATATTTGGAGTTTTCTGCTGGCTGAGAGCAGAGTTGTGGTTGTGGGAGTGTTTTGGGTTCTGGTTGCAATCACCTTCTTGTGTTCCAGGGTCAGTGTGAGCTCTGCAAACACCGTTCCCCTGACAGAGGAGCAGATCAAGGCCATCGTTTCCACCTTGGGTGAGGAAGGAGGGGCCCAAATGTGCTACTTTGTGTCTTTCCTGGGTGTAAAATACCCGCTGAAACTCAGCCCAAATGTGCTGCTTTGTGTCTTTCCTGGGTGTAAAATACCCGCTGAAACTCAGCCCAAATGTGCTGCTTTGTGTCTTTTCTGGGTGTAAAATACCAACAGAAACTTAGCCTGAATTGTGCTGCTTTTTGTCCTTTTTTTTTTCTGAGGGTAAAACACCCACAGAAACTTCCACATTTCACTTATTTTCTTCACTTTTCCATAAACTTGGGAAATTGTTTAGAATTATCATTCTCCTCTTCCCTGGGGTGATTTGTTGGAGGGATGGTGAAGAAATATGTGTTTCCCTCAAAATAAGGCAATTCCAGCTTGTTCTGTGTCTGTCTCTATCCTTTGCCTTGGCAGTCATGGATGATTTAAACGTTAAAAAAAGCACCTTAAAAGAAACCCTACAAGTAACATCTATTATTTCTTCAATAATACATGTTTTTTATATGATAGAATAATAAGGATGATTTCATTTATTGAATATTCTTCAATATTCTTCAATTTATCAGAGCAAAAACACGACGTGAGTGAGGCCGTGGAGGAACTGCAGTATCGTTGTTCCCTTAAAATTGCCTTGGATATCCTGCAGCAAAATGACTCGGAGAATCAAGTGCCACCTGCAGAAGGAGCAAATCCCAAATTTTCCCAGGAAAACAACGTGGGATCTGCCTCACCTGCCCCCTCACGCGGCTCCTTGTTGCGCCTTCGTTCTAAAAAATTGGAAGCTGAGGCTGCCAAGAGGCAGAGAAACACCAAAAGTAACTGTGGGATGAAGGATGATCCCAAAGCACAGAGCAGGGGAGGTTCTGTGGTTCCAGAGGGGAGTGGAAAAGCTCGTGGAAGTGGGACAAGCCCTGCCAAAGCACGTGGAGATGGAGCAAGCCCTGGCAGAGCACGTGGGAGAGCAACAAACCCTTCCAGATCTGGTGCCAGGGACTTGTGYGTGGCACCAGCCCCTGAGAGTCACAACTGCAAAAAAACAGAACAGAAATCATCACCMAGACAGAGAAAAATCCAGCCCAAAACAGGGAATGGAGTTTCCCGTAAGTCAAAGGTGGGAAGAAGTCAGCAAGGAAGGAAAAGAGGATTTAGGGATGATTCCACCCAGGATCAAACACAGCTGGCTCCTGAGGAGGGGTCTCCACCTCTCCCCTCCAAATCTGGTACCATGGAACCTGCCAGAAAGACAGACACTCAGCCTGAGAGAACATTCCTGGCTTCCTCCTGTGAGAGTGCCTCAGATGAGCTGGAGAAAAGCATCAGCAGTGAGAGTGAAAGCCTGGCAAAGCAGCTGGATGGAAGGAGAGAGGCAGAGGGTGGAAAACAGCTGGATGGGGCAGATGTGGCCTCAGGCACTGACAGGAAATTCAGGAACCACTCTGGATCCTCACCTGGACCTTCTGGTGCTTTCCCTCAGCCTCAAGAGGAGGAAAACCAGGATCTCTCACAGCTGGCTGGRAATAAAGCCCCTGGCTCTGAGGAGGATGAAGGTGGGCAAATCCTTWGGGGAAGGGAAACCTTCATCCCATGTGGGTGTTGAGCACTGTTGCTCATATTGGAATATTGATTTACTTTTGGGGATGTGGGTCTTGAGTTGCTGATTTAATTCTTTCAGTTTTGATTCCAGAGAAGCAGAAATGCTGATCCYTTTGGTGCTGGGGAAAGGCTGGGGTGGAGTTTGGGGTGTCTGGAATTGTTTGGGATTTTCCATGGAAAGCTGTATTCCTGCCCTTTAAGTTCACACTTGTTTTCCCTCGCTGATAAATTGAGATTAAATGTTYTTAAATGAGCAGGTGCCGAGTCCTRAAACCAGCCCCATTCCTTCCCCTTTTCCCTCTTTTATCCACATGATCAGGGAATTAGGATTCCTTAATAGGGGTGTCCCCTCTGAGTCACACTCAGGTGTGTCTCACCTGTTCTGAAGCTGATCCTGTCCTAATCCCTGGATCTTGCTGCTGTTGGCAGGGCCAAAATCCTCGGGTATGTCTTCAAGAAGAGCTTCCTGGGAGAGCCTCCCTCCACTGTCACCTCTGATGGATGAAGAAGAGGAATATTTGCCAAGTGTSCTGTCCCATCAGGGTGAGATATCAGCTCTTGCCCCTCTGTGAGCTTCAATTTGCCTGCAATCCATGGGGGATTCCAGAAGGGAATCCATCTGTGTCCAGGCTTGGRATAAAAKGCATTTCCTGGGTCTGTCAGAAAGGCTTTTTSATGCAAAATGAAATGCAAAATGAAACTGGGAAAAGGTCTGGGGTTGAAATTCCTGGGTTTCAGTTTGGCACTCCCTGTGCTGCCTTTTGGGCTCACTGGARTTGAAAGCTGTAAAAGCACTCAAGAAAAACTCCTGGAGATCCTCCTGGAGAAAAAGCCTAGAGGAGGAGAAGAAAGGGGTAGCATTGGTCTTGTTTTATTGTTTTTAAGGAAAATTCCCTTTCTTTTTCATCCCAGAACCCAAATTCTTCAAGGAAGGAATGTTGGTATGGTGCAAGCTGCGACGATATCCGTACTGGCCAGCAGTGGTAAGAGCAGCTCCTGCCACCTCATATCCTGCTGATAAGGAGCAATCCCCAGTTCTGGAGTGACTTTTGCCCTTCCTGGGAGTGTTAGAGACCTTCTAGTAGAAGAATTTCAAAATTCACTGAAGTAAATTTATAAAACACATAAAATGTGATTAATTCACAGTTGTTTGTACTGGAGCAGAGGATTATTCCAATTTTTTTTATCATGGAACAGAACTTTGTTCCCAATTTACAAAAGAAAGGGGATGCTCTTTGGGTACTAAAAACACATGTTGCTCCTTCCACTTGAATTTTTCATATTTGTGTAATAAAGTTGCACCAGTAGGAAAAATTTGAGTGTGGGTTGTCCTGGATTCTATCATTAAAGAACATCTCTGGATTAGGATTTTAGGATGCTAAATGAGGCTTTATCCTCTCTCCAGGTGAAAGCAGTGAAGAGGAAGCCCCGRAGGGCCTGCGTGCTCTTCATAGATGGCACCACAAACGAGAAGAAAAGAGGGTAAATGTTGATTTTCATCCCATCCTGACCTTCCCAGTCTGTTATTCCACGTCCTGCACCCATTTTCCTCCAGGTTGATCTGGGAGGGAGGGTCTGGGCCAGGTGAGGGTGGCAGGTGCTTTGTCATGCTGCAGGTTGAGGCAGCTCCCTGTCCATGGTAAGGGCTGAGGAATTGAAAACAAAACAAAAAAAAAAAATCCCTGGAACACAGCCAAAGGTTTACTTGTGCTGCCCAAACTTTCTGGAAACACTGGGCTGCCTTCAGCTTTGTTCCAAGCCAGGTATTTTTCACTTCTTAAAAGATTCCATAATTTTAACTTCCTGTGGAAACAAAAAATGGCAAAAACTTGTGCTCCTTAATTCCTTGGGAAATGGAATTTTCAGGGAGAAGCAGAACTAAATAAACAGGGAGATGGGGCGGTTGAGTTGCACCTCTGACTGTGTTTCTTTAAAAGTTTCTCAGTGTCTCTGAAGAGCCTGAAGCACTTTGACTGCAAGGAGAAGCAGGAGCTCATAGTGAGTATCTCAGAAATGTGGAACTGCAGCTGTTGGGAAAATACAGTGGGAAATCCAAGATACAAGGGACCAGGGGAGGAATGTGGGGCTTGGCTCCCTCAGAGCTACTCTCATCTGTGACAGCCATAACASGGCTGTTTTACTGTCATGAACCATTTCTGTCCCCTCCTTGGTGTTCTGGGCTGGAACTCTTGCAGAGCTGCTGGATTTGGGACAGAAAAGGCTGTTGTTTTGTAGGAACGAGCCAAGGAGAACTATTCCCGRGAGATYGAGTGGTGCCTCCAGCTGATCCTGGACTATCGGATCCGAGTGGGTAAGGAGGGGCAGCAGAGCATGGAATCATCAAATCCCAGGATGGTTTTGGTGGGAAGGGACCTTAAATCTCATCCAGTGCCACCCTGSCACSGKCAGGGACACCTCCCACTATCCCAGGCTGCTCCAAACCCTGTCCAACRTGGCCTGGRGCACTTCCAGGGATGGGGCAGCTTCTCTGGGATCTCATCCTGAGAAAAAAGGGAATCCCAAACTGTCAGCTTTGATTCCTGGTCTGAATGGAACTGATCAGTGACCCTGTTCTGGGTTTTTAGGTTGTCAGTCTTTCACCGGATCCTTCCTGCAGTATTTTGCGTCTGATGTCAGTAAGTGAATTTATCCCTTTTGGAWTTTTTCTCTTGGCTGGGTAAATGTAGCTCCAACATTTACACATAAATGACTTTGGCACCACACCCAGAGAGGTGTTAAATTTACCAGCACCCCTTTATTGCAATTAAGTGTTCAATTAAATAAATACTGGTGGTTCAAGACAATCAGGTCATGGCATCAGAGAATAGTTGGACTTGTAGCTGGTTCCTTATATATTCATGTCAACTCTCTAATATTTGTGGTTTTTTTAAGGCAAATTAAGATTTTAGTGGTGCCTCTTTGGTAGGGAAGGAAGAAAAACTCTCAGCAACAAAATTCCATATTTTCTATTGATATGGATATGAAATCTGTTTGTACATTTAAATGTAAATGTAAATTTAAATGTGGTCTCTCTTTCAGGCTACCCAGTGAGGAAAGAAGGATACCAGAATGTGGTGCAGATGACATTTCCAAACACTGAGGAGGAATGTGCTGGAGAATGTTCCTCAGACACTTCTCCCCAGAAACCCCCAAGGAAGCTCCTCCCTGACAGGTCCAGAGCCGCCAGGGACAGAGAGAACAAAAAGCTGGTGGAATTCATAGTGAAGACCAAAGGAGCTGAAAAACATCTCTTGGGGATCTTGAAAAGTGGGAAGAAGTCACGGTGGCTGAAGAAATATCTGAATTCCAGACACTATGTGACGTGTGTGGAGACATAYCTGGAGGATGAGGAGCAGCTGGACACGGTGGTTGGGTACCTGAAGGAGGTGTACAGGGAAATGGACACCAAGAATTTACACAAGATCCTGGGTGATGGCATCAGATTCATATCAGATGTGCTTTTACCTGAGGTGAGGGAACGTGGAACTGAGGGAAAAATAATTCTGAAGTGATAAATAATGCTTATTATTATTTATTTATGCYTTTGGTTGGTGTGGAATGACGTGGGGAAAGTTCCCAGAACTGAATATTCACTGCTCCCACAGGCTGAGTCACTGAAATGCTGATTTTTAAGCACAGAAAGGAGAAGCTTTAAAAAACAACAGTTGGTTGTTTTTAAAGGCAGACTGATTGTTTTCTGATGTGTTTTAATGACTTCTGAAATGCCTCAAGGCTTTGTTTTGGGCTTTTTATTTTAATTTGGCAGCTTCTCYTGGTCCTTTGTGTGTGTCAAGGTGGGGGTTGGTGTGTTGGCTGTTTTTACAGTTGTTGTAGATAACTTGTGTTCTTCTCAGGAATTTTCCCAGGAGAACATTAACTCGTGGAGAAACAAAATTAGTGTGAAGAATATTTTAATCTGAGGATAAAAATCCTCCCCTGGGGATGATACAGAACAAGTTCTTATTATTTATTTAAGAATTTCAGGCACACAACGAGRTGTTTCATCCAAGTTTTCCTAGTGATTGAGGAACCCTTTTCTCAAAACTTACTCAGCTGAGGCAGTTTGAAATCCCTGGCTGTGATTTGGTTTTGTTTATTGATTATTCTTATTAATTATTCAAYGCTTTCCAGGCCATCATCTGTGCCATTGCTGCTGTGGATGACATAGATTATGAGAAAGCAGAAGAGAAGTACATTAAAGGACCACCTGTGACCAAGAGGTAGATTTATTTTCAGTATTTTCCAAGGTTTTTTGCTCTTTTATTGTTGATACAGAAAAGGTTTGAGGTAAGGGCAGGAGAGCTCAGTGTTCTTCCTGTGAGGGACAAAGGATTAAACATGGGAAATGTTCTGGCTGAGCTACTCCAAACTGCAAATTTTAATTTATATTTAATTTAATGTTATCCTGTTTTTAAAATTTAAAAATATTATTTTTTTTTCTTTCCAGAGAGAGGGAGTTATTTGACGAGCAAGTCCTGGGAAGCAAAAAACTCAAGACCGAGTCAGAGCCCTGGGAGAGCTGAGGAGTGGCCRGGGCTGCCCTGGGGCCAGGTGTCAATAACCAGTGGTGTTTTGTATAAAATGTGGCATTCTTTGTAAAGTCTGTGTGTATATTCCCAGTTATTCTGCTCCCAGACCCAGCTGGGCCTCAGTTCTCACTGCTTCCCGTGGCCTCACCGTGTTCAGTTGCCTGTGATCCATCAGATCCACCAGATCCTCATCCATCAGTGCCCTCTGGGGGCTGGCAGAGMCCCCCAGTGCTGTGCAGAACTTCCTGCTGCTCCACCAATTTCCATTTGGATGGTTTTAGCCAAATCCCCGGCATGGGAAGGGCTCTGGCCCTGGTTTTGTGGCCAGTGGTGGCCTCACTGCTCATGATGAAAGCAGGGGGTTCCTGGCAGGAAACACTCCCAGGGGTTCACTCTTCCTGCTTCACATGACTCCAAGTGTGGGAAAGCAGGTTGGTGTCCAGGGCTGCACCCTGCATCACAAAGCTTTGGGGTTTTGTTGTAAAATTCCATGGGGAAGGAATCCAGGTTTGCTGAAAAACAAAAGCATTCCCTTTTCYTCTAACAGTGATTCATCTGAATGCTGGTTTATTGCCTCTTTTGAGGCTGTGAATTTAATTGTTTTAATTGTCTTTTTCTCATCTAAATTCCCAATTTAATCCTCTTCAGCTCCCTGCCCACCTTTGCTGGAGCTGTGGCACATGGAAACAGTGTCACCAAGAACTAATTAATGATGAATAATGATAAATGATACATAAAACCCCCTGATTAGGGTTTCTCTATGATAATGAAATGTCATCTCCTTGCTTGTCCAGTAAAACCCAGGATGATTTGAAATAAAGAAGTTTAAATTGGGATCCAGATGTCTATCCTGGCTGTAGTAATTATCTGAATATATTTTAATTACACTTTTAATTGCTCTGTGCTCTCTAATGAGTTTCACCATGGAATCCTCACTCCCGTTATCTCAAGTACCTCAATTATAGGGACTGATCAGGAAGTGAAGGTTTTATTAAAACTTGTGAGGAGGGATAATGAGTTTTATGGGACAGTATAAAAAACTAATGATTGAGTTAACTCAGAGCTGTGAGTGGCACTTTTCCTTTGCAAGTGAGAGATTGGGGAGGAACTTCCTGCCCCTGCTCCCGGTGCTCTGAGGTGATTTGGAGATGGGGGATCAACTTCCCATCCTTTGCATTAACCTTGTGTTCCATTCTCCATTAAAATTCCTCGTGCTGTGAAGATCCTTCTCCACCCCAGTGCACAGAAGCAGAACCACCTCACCTTGCCTTCACTTCAGTTTTGGAATCYTGGGATGGTTTGGGGTKGAGGGGACCTTGAACCCCAATCCATGTGCAGAGACACCTTGCACRATCCCAGGCTGCTCCAAGCCCTGTCCACCCTCGCCTTGGCCATTCCAGGGAAAATCCTGACCTTGTACCACCCCTTTCCAGTGCTGCCCCACCGGTCATTTACTGGTACTGGACACCAGGCTCAGCCTCACATCATATTTGTGATGTACAAATCACTAATAAAGTGGGATGAAGTGAATCATCAAAGATTTGCTGCTTTTGTTTAATTAATTTAATCTCTGGTGGGTGGTGTTCCAGCAGGTGCTTCCATCCCGGTTTTACAGCAGGTGAAGATTATTTTTATACATCAGATAAACCTGTAATATCCTGTCTCMGTGTCTCACATTATTAATCACTGGAAAAAGAACTCACTGGTTTCTCTTCTTGTGCTTTATTGAAAACGGGCTGGCACACAGCACCTCTGCTTGTGGTTGTCCATTGTTAATTAATCCATATTTCCTCAACTGCCTCCTCGATACTCAGTGTTAGATCTGTAACTTATTTATTAATTATTCATACTTTAACGCTTTTATTTCATAATATCATTAATCCAGTGTTGCATCCTAAACTGCTTCACTCCTCCCTGCATTTGTGCGTTTTTCCAGGATATTAAAATGATCAGGCGCAGAGTTTGGGGAGGGAATGACGATTCCCGCAGCCCTGGGCGGTATTTTGGGGTGAAAACAGCGCTTTTACGACCCGAATCCCGGCAGGAAAAGAAGCATCTGCCGAAACCCGGGATCGAACCAGGGACCTTTAGATCTTCAGTCTAACGCTCTCCCAACTGAGCTATTTCGGCTGCACGACCGCGCTCCGCCCCCCCCGCCCGTCACCGCCGGTGGCGCCGCTCCGGGCGGGGGGGACACGGGGGACACGCTGGGGAGGACACGGGGGAACACGCGGGGACACGGGACACGGGGGCGGGATGTGGGACACGGACACACGGACACACGGACACGGGACAGGCGGGACACGGGGACGGGCGCGACACGGGACAGGCGGGACACCCGGACAGGCAAAAGGCGGCGGCAGCGTGGTCTCTGTGGCGCAATCGGTTAGCGCGTTCGGCTGTTAACCGAAAGGTTGGTGGTTCGAGCCCACCCAGGGACGGCCGCAAACTATTTTCTTGGACGGCTGCAAATTATTTTCTTGCGCGTCCGCGGCTCCGCAGCCCCTGAACGGACCGGTCCTGCGAGAATCCCGCCGCAATCCCGGGATGGCCCCGGGACAGCCCCGCCCGTCGGGGATGGTTTTGCCGCAGGCCGGGGCGGGGCCGGCGAGTGCCTCCGGAACCGCCAGGCAGGACCGCGTTTCCCGCCGGAGCGCTGAGGCGGTGCCGCGGCGGGCGGTTTAGTGGGGTGCACCGCGCCCAGAGGTTGCGTGAAGGGCTGCGGAGAGATGGCGGCGCTGGGCCGTGAGCGGGGCCGGGAACGGGGCTGGAACGGGGCCGGGAACGGGGCTGGAACGGGCCGGGAACGGGGCTGGGAACGGGCCG